ATGTATCTAGTACCTGAAACCATTTCTGTCCATTTGTACCCCATTATACCTATAACATGATTTTTTTTTTCCATTTTAAGTACAAGTCTTCCATCTCAAGTCCATCATCTTCCGAGACTGACACCTTGGCTGGGATTGATCCTATCTTATTACTTAAAAAAAAAAAAAAAAAAAAAATCTACCATCGCTTTGAGTGTCTTAATAAACTCAGCAACATGGATACCCCCTGGGTACACATCAGGGCCTATGAACCTATCAGTGTCACTGCCATCATCATCCTTGTCAACCTTATATTAAACATTTACTATGGGCCAGGCATCATATTCAGCCTCCTAAATGTATTGTTTTCCAGCTGTATTGACATATACTTGATAAATAAAATTGTATAAATCCTTTATATGTGTTCTTATTTAACCTGTAGAACTATCTACTTTACAGGTGACGAAATATAGGTACAAGGGAAGCCATTTCAGGGCCATATAGCCATAAACAGCAGAGGACAGACTTAAACAGCCCCTGCAATATATCCAGACTGCAGATCTCCTGTTAGTCTGAGAAAAACTGAGATGCCCAGTAGGGGCACCCAGCTGATAACAGAGATGAGGAAGAAAAAGACTGAAACGTGAGTTCTGAAGACACCATCTTAAATGACCTTAGGAAGAGATAAGGAGACAATAGATCCTTCCTTTTTTTTTTTTTTTTTGAGACAGAGTCTCACTCTGTTGCCCAGGCTACAGTGAGTGCCAGTGCATCAGCTAGCTCACCAGCAACCTCAAAACTCTGGGCTCAAGCATCCCTCCTGCCTCAGCCCTCCGAGTAGCTGGGACTACAGGCATGCACATGCCCCGCCCGCTAATTTTTTCTATAATTAGTTGGCCAACTAATTCTTTCTATTTATAGTAGAGACAGGTCTCGCTCTTGCTGGTTTCGAACTCCTGACCTCGAGCTATCGCCCGCCTCGGCTCCCAAGTGCTAGGATTATAGGCGTGAGCCACCGTGCCGGCCCAGTAGACTCCTTCTTAACAGAGCTTTTGCTTTCTGAGCGTTTACTTTCTCGCGTTTGGTTACTGGACGATACACGCAGTCCGAAAATATTAAATAAAATATCCCAGAAATAAACTAATTCCCATAATTTTTAATATTGTAGTGCCATTTTAAGTAACATGATGCAAGTCTCTCAGCATCCAACCCCAGACATGGAATCATCCCTTGGACTAGTATATTCAAGCTGTATATGCTGCCCACCCATGAGTCACTTGGTACATGTCTCAGTTATCAGATCCACGTAGAAGTATCATTCTATTTTAATTGTAAGTTATTCTTGTTAATCTCTTACTGTGCCTAATTTATAAATTAATCTTTATTCATAGTATATATGTATTTATGGAAAAAACATAGTATACTAGGGCTTGGTACTATATTGACTGGGGTCTTAGACCATATATATCCTGAGAATAAGGGGTACGTACCACTGTACTCTAAACAAGAGCACCTGGATTCCTTTCACAGTATCATACTCTACCTGCCCACAGTCCCTCTCTACCAGATCTCTGGCTTTCAAGGCTGCATCTAAATTCTTAATACTAGTTCTGTCCTCAAGGTAAGGAGAAGTTGTGCAAAAGCACAGGCAAACACCAAACCATTAAACACCTACCCTTGGTGTGCAAACACACACCACACACACAACCAAATTCTGTGGGTCCTATAGAAAAACAATGCAAAGCAAGAAACTCTAAATACCATCTGGCATTTCATGACACTCTGATTATCTGAAAGACTATCATCTAAAGGAATCTATGCATTACTCAGGAAGCTCCTGAGTGACAATAAATATTCCACCATGAACCTAACTCCCAGGGCATACCCTTAAAGATAACAAAATGGGTAATATGATTTACAGGAACTCTTCTAAACTTCAGAGATTTAAATATAACCTACAATCTCCGACAGCCAGCCAAAAACCAACTTCCAACCCATAAGCGACCTACTCGCTTGGACCTAAGACAAAGGTTAAGCAGGAGTCCTTAAATGCCTGTGCCTGCATAAGAAAGCAAGCTGGTCAAAGTACACACTTTGGAAAAGCAATGAACAAGAATAAAGCATATCTTCCCTCTCAGAAGCTAGGATCAAACTGAGTAAGACACAACTCATGTTCCATTTCTGCTTCTGTGCAAGGAAGGAAGGGTGGGCTTGGAAATCTGTTTAGATCTAATTCTACAGTATAGAGAAGCAGCTCTATTTCTGAATTCTTTGCCAGATTCAACCATTAACACAAGCACAAGTGAAATTTAAAAAACAAAGATGTCTTATTTGAAAACTAATTTTACTATATAAAAAGGATAAAATATGTTCCTAACTCTCCCACTTCCAGGCACCTCTCCTAAGGAAACGAGTCCATCGCCTCTACGTCACTGTGTGCTCCTCCAGGGACTGCACTGGGTCTGGCAGCACTTGCCTCTGCTGCTCTGGTCCTGCTGAGCGGAAAAGCAGTTGGGCCTGACTGTGTCCTTTCCTTCTATTCAGAGACGTGCTATGCAGAGAAGCACAGAGAACAACCTTTTATGCAGTTCCTATCTAACACTCTGGGTATAGGTCACAGTTGCTGAACAGAGAAATGCATGTCATCAAAGTCTAAAACACCTCATAGGTCAACACAAAAACCATCCTTCGATTAAGGTTTTAATAAAAACATTTAAAGCCAACTAATCCCACCCTGTCTCTCATCTTTGTCATGTTTTGCCAAGACCTCCAATTCCTTTGTGCACTCTCTTGTCTCCTGTGCTCACCACGCCACGCCTCCCTGAACCTTCCTTCAGATGTGGCTCCCTTGTCAGGCCCCACCCCAAGTTCTGCCCGGCCCCACCATCCATCACACTCCACGGGAGCTGCGTGAACTGTAAGAAAAGCAATCCACACCCTGACCTCTTCCCTCAACGTTCTCAGAACCTCCCCTTCAACAGCTCTCGTTCTCTGCCAAGGATACCACACTCAAGTGGGTGATGCTCACTCTCTCACTCCCTAGGGAGTTAGAAAAAGAGGGTAAATATTTTTCTAAACTCCTCCCTACCACCAAGCCATTATTCTTCCATTATTTCAAAAGCTATTCTCTACTCCAACACCTCTCCTTTTAATGCCCACTTTACTAGCACTTTATTATTCTTAGTGAATAACCTTCCCCCTAAATGACAGGGAAAAAAAACCCAAAAACAATAAAAACCATGGTAATTGGACAAGAAACCCTTTAGATTCCTGCTCCAAGCTACAAAAAGCATCTGCATTTGTACCTTCCCTTCGTTCCTGGCACCTGTCTCGGAGGTGAGCTTCCTCCTACCAAACTATCGAAGTTTTCTCTCTCCAGGTGTACAATGTCCTCCTCTCCCTCCACCATCTCTAGGGACTATGTTGAATCACCCCCTTTCTTACATCTACATATTCCTTTTCTGGATCTTTCCCACAAGCAAATAAAATTCTCTCAATTTATATATGTGTGTGTGTGTGTGTACATAAATGTAGTAATATATTACATATGTGTATATATATGTGTGTGTGCATATATACACATTTAGTTATATATAAAAAATTCTCCTCTTGCTTGATCAATTAATATCCTCCAGTTATCTAAGTAACATGCATTCTATCTGCCTCTTTTCATGACCAGGATTCTCAAAACATTAGTTGGTTCTTACAATGTCCAATTTTTGACCTGTGTTCAATTCTCAACCCACTACTCTCTGATTCCACTCTACTGAAACTGCTCTATGCTCACCAAGGCCTCCATGTGGCCAAGCCCCAGGAAGACTTCTCTGCCTTATTTATTTTTTTTTTTTTGAGACAGAGTCTCGCTTTGTTGCCCAGGCTAGAGTGAGTGCCGTAGCATCAGCCTAGCTCACAGCAACCTCAAACTCCTGGGCTCAAGCAATCCTCTTGCCTCAGCCTCCCTAGTAGCTGGGACTACAGGCATGCGCCACCATGCCCGGCTAATTTTTTTTCTATATACATTAGTTGGCCAATTAATTTCTTTCTATTTATAGTAGAGACGGGGTCTCACTCTTGCTCAGGCTGGTTTTGAACTCCTGACCTCGAGCAATCCGCCCGCCTCGGCCTCCCAGAGTGCTAGGATTATAGGCGTGAGCCACCGCGCCCAGCCTTCTCTGCCTTATTTACCTTGACCTCATAACCACACTCTGTGATGATCTTTTTGTTACAATACTCTCTTTGGTTTCTATGTCAACCTCTAGCTCATCAATTTCCTTCTACACTTTTTGTTCCTTCCACCTCACTGTTTTCTTCCTCCCTTTATGCCTCAAATATTGCTGCTTTGCAGGACTCCAGTCTTGGCCTTATGCTCTTCTTATTGTTTGATCTTCCCTTGGATGACCGTTCAAATCCAAGAGTTTCACTTACATTTGATCTTGTTCTCAATGATCCATACAAGGACAGAACTCGACAATTTCCCCCAGATTTATGTATCTAATTGATTCCACTTAATTTTATTGTCCTGTGGACACTTTAACTATCAACATGTCCCAAACTGAACTCAACCATTTTGTCTTCCAACCTGTTCATGCTCCTATAATATCATATTGAAGAGTTAATGTCCCACTATCCATCTAGTTTCCTAATCCAGAAACAGAAGTCATCCTCAACTACCCCACTACTCCCAACACGTAATAAGTCACCAATTCCTACAGATTCCCTAACTCTTAAATCCACACCTTCCTAATTTGTACTCAGGTGGTATTCATTTGAATTGTTAAACTCTGAATTAATTTCCTATTCTCTAAGCAAATATCCTATGTAATCATTTCATTCAAGAATACAAAATCATATGTCATAATCTTAAGTATGTGAAATTCTCATAGTACTTGTCAAATATAGATTTTATTCACAATATTTTTCTGTATTTTCTAAATGTTCCACCAAAATCATGCATTTCTTAGAAGCAAAAAACCCCTCAAAATCTATTTATAATGTGAAAACAAAGACAAATGATATCATACCATGCACTGCTGGCATATCTAGAAGACAATGTTCCTGTGTATGCTGAGGTCTTTGAAACAACTCGGGTCCTGGGGAGTTGATACAAAGGCAAATCTTGCTCCCTTCTTTGAGTCACAGCAGGAAGGTCAACCAGTAAGCCAGGACCTTGGACATCATTCGGAATCATGCCTGAAAAGCAAATCCAGATGACAGTGAACACAAGATGCATTCATTCATCCTTCAGTCATTCAGTGAATAGATATGGCACCCACTATGGGCAGGTACTCTTCCAGGTAGGAGACTGACTACTGTCAATAGCTAAAGGAAATAGCTAAAAGAGTTAATATATCAGATAATGATAAGTACTGTGGTGTGAAAAAAATGAAGAAGAAGGATTGTTCAGTATTAGAGAGTTACAATTTTAAGTATGGCCTCACTGGAAAAATGACATTTTAGCAATATTAATATTACTGAAAATCTAATCTTACATCAGATTTTCCCTTATCAACCTGGGATGTCCCAATTATAGGAATTCTGACATTTCATTGATTTAAAAACATAATTCCACAGGATAACATATAACTTTGTTTATAAATTTCAGAATTCTTTTACATTTGTTGCCCCATTTAATTCTCACATCAAACTATGATTTAGAAAGAAAAGATACTATCAACCATATTTTATAGACAAGGAAACTCAGGTTAAGGAATTTTGCAAATTTTTACTCAGCAAGTAAAAGATATAGATTGCCATAATTTACTTGAATATTTATAATAAATTTTCTGCCAAAGACTTATTAATTTTGATTTCTACTTGGGTAGGGGGTGGTTCATATAATAATCTTGAGAAGCATGGGGGGAATCTTTGGACTTTACTTCTTATATCTGTCCCTAGGTTTAGGTAGTATATTATAGAATTACCATATTAATTAAAAAAATTAGAGAAGCTAGTATTTTCTCCTTCCATTTGCCCAAATAAACTAGAGGAAGCCCCTGTAGTTTCACCACAATAAATCCTGTGCTGATACCTACTATATATAGTAAGTATAGTACAACTATCCTATATAGAAAGGTGTGTTGGTCTGTGTATATTATCTACACACACCGCCACACATGCAACTACCTAAAGACAATGCATAAGGTACAAAACAAGCAGAGAAGGAGTTAGGCTGTACTATAATAGTTTTATTGTTTAAAACAAGAGAAGATCTGGAGATGAAGGAGAAAGCTGAGAGGAGTCAGTTATGAGTACAGACAGGTAGTTCTTTTTATGACTAGAAAAAATTTGGAAAGCTATAAAACAAGTCATAATTACCTCTGCAGACAATTTTTATTTCTTTTTGCTAATCTGCATTATCTTTTGTTTGGCAGAGGGACAGGGTATCTTGGGTCACTGCAGCCTCTAACTCCTGGGACCAAGAGATCCTCCCACCTTAGCCTCCCAAGTAGCTGGGACTACAGGTGCTTGCCACCATGCCCAGCTAAATTTTCTTATTTTTCAGAGATGAAGTCTATGTTGCCCAGGCTCATCTAGAACTCCCAGCCTCAAGTGATCCTCCTGCCTCCCAAAGTGCTGGGATTACAAACATGAATCACTGCACCGGGCCTGTCTGCACTATCTTATTTATCCTCCACAAACACACCTAATTGTTTTTTCTCACACTGCCAAGCATACTATATCTCCTCAAGAGCTTTCCATTTATCGTTCTCTCAGCAGAGGGCTCCTACTTTATTCAATTCTCAGTCAAATGCCATCCCACTAAAATAGCCAGCCAGACCACTCCATAGAAAATAGCACCCGCCCCTAACACGCCCTATCCTTTTACACTGCTTTGTTTTCCTACCACATTACCCATTAATTTGTTACTGTCTGTCTCTGCCAACTACGGTGCAGATGCCACAGAGCATACTAGTTTGTTCACCACTCCCTCCTCAGGAGCCACAGCAGAACTGCTAGCTATTAATAGAAAGCACCTAGCAAATATTTTTGAATGAGGAAATACAGTACCTGTTTAATGAATCAAAATGAGAGAGTTTTTTGTTTGTTTTGTTAGAAAGGGTCTCACTCTATCACCCTGGCTAGATTGCAGTGGCATGATCATAGCTCACTGTAACCTCAAAACTCCTGGGCTCAAGCCACCCTCCTGCCTCAGCCTCCTATGTAGCTAGGACTACACATGGATGCCACCATGCCTGACTAATTTTTCTTTTTTTTTTTTCTAAAGATAGGTTCTTGCTCTTGCTCAGGCTGGTTTCAAACTCCTGGCCTAAAGTGACCTCCCAGCTCAGCTCCCCAATTGCTAGGATTACAGATGTGAGCCACTGTGCCCAGCCAAAAATGAGTTTTTAAGTTTAAAAAGTAATGAATATGCTCTTTTCCTAAGTAGAAAGCAAAAACAATTTACATCCATGTAAATTGTTGTTATTAGAATGGATGTTGCATCTATTCTAATAATAGTCCATCTAATCTGCACCACAGGGGCTATTCTAGAGACAATGTGTGTCTTCTAAAATTTCAAAGAGCAGCTGTGAGACTTCTGATTAAACACCTTCAGTGATCTGGGAATGCCATTTATTCAAACAATATTAGCTGGGAGCCTAAAATAATTCTGCTTACTCAAACTAGGTAAATGGAACAACTAAAAATCTACCTATCAGGTACTGTGCAAGGCACTGGGAAATCTCATCGAAATCTAAGGAATTATTTGCTGTTATATGCTGTTTCCTAGCATTATAGACAGTGAAAAGCAGCATGGTTGGAAGAGTTTAGAATGCACAGTTCAGCACAGAGGCGGCAATGGAGAAATCCAGGAAGCAAGGGGGCACAGTGAATTTGACTTGTCCACTCAGGAGCTTTATCCTGGGCTCCTGGGGGTAGCTTCACAGGGTCCCTGAACCATAAGTAAAAACATTTTTTCATGTAATGTATTTCTTTGAAAACTGTGTTCTTGGAAGAAAGAAATTTTAAAATTATCACAAATTTTGTGATTACAACATGATTGAAATGTAAGATGATGAAATACTATTGTATAGGGTTCAGTAATAATAAATAACATAGCTTTTATCCAAATTATAAGAAATAAAATGTATAGGCTTATCAAGATCGTGGACATCTATTTTTTTGGTTTGCATTCCTTTTTGTGGATTTTTAACAACATCTGGCAGAACCTAAGCTAGGGAATGTAACAAAGAAAAATTTCTAACGTAGTTTCTATACTTTGTTTTGTTTCCTAGCAAACCAATGTGAGAGGACACAAAATCTTAAGTATTTTATGTCTGTGGCTAATGAGGAAAGAAGTCAATGCTACAAAATATACCTCTGAGTGTAGCCAACATTAATGTTGGTGTTCTTCATTCCCGTATTCACAAATCCACTTAGCAAATGTTTGTGGAGCACCCGCTACTTGCTAGGAATTATTCTAGGCGTTAGAGATAGCTAAGTGTACAAAACTGACAAAGTTCCTGTTCTTGGGGGCTAATCTTCTAGTGGGGAGAGACACAGAATGAACACACAGCATGATTTCCTCAGGATATGGTAAGTTTCAAGAAGGAAAATAAAGCCACAGGTGGGAAAAGAAAGAAATGGTTATTTTAGATGAGCAATCAGGGACCTGGATGGTAATAGGGAATTAGTTCCATAAAAATCTGCAAGGAGAGTGTTCCAGGTAGAGGTCACAGCATGGGGAAGAGGCTTTATTTGAAAAAGATGGAATTTTACCAGTATTTTGATTTGCCACCACAAAATAGCTCCGCTGCTTAGCAATATACTAAGCAGAAGAATGGGACCCAGAAGTAGTTGGGCTTCAAAAAGAAGAAAAATTCTAAAACCTAAAGTCCTGTGAACCTTGTCATTCTCACATCAGAGAATTCTGTGAGGATAGAAAACCAAATTACAAACAACATCTTTCCCATCTTATAATTGGATGGTCAGGTTTTAGGAACAAACAGCAAGGCTTCACATTTTCCTTCTTTTTAAATATTTTATCTATTTGGTGGATGCCTTTATTCTGGATTATCGGGGTTTCTTTGGATCTCAGCTCTGTAATCCAACATACTGAAAATCCTTCCCAATTTACTGGGATGTGCAAATTTATCCAACATGCCATCTATGTCATTTTCTCATTTACTGCAAAAGATAACGAGGGCAGACTGTGCATAGACTCCTGTGGCAAATGGTTAGAGACCTGTATACATGTCAGCAGAAATCCATGTCTCGCAGGGCACACCTCAGTACTCCAACATAAATTCTTTCTTATCATGTTTCTAAGAACATGATGAATTGTCCACCAAATGTCTTCCTTAAATCCATACATTTATAGTAATATTGGGAAGGTGGCTTATCAAAAAATCAGAAATTATCTCTGACTAAGCAATATGGATACTCTTCTAAAACCTTTCCTATAAGCAACATCCAACTCTTTCCATTTCTTCATCCTGAACAAGTTTTCCAGTAATCTCACTGCCACTGCTTTGTATCTGACCTAAAAGCTTTAGAATAAGAGTCTAATCAGCCTGCAAGACAGCAGAGAAGGGATGAAAATAATTGTCATGCTCAGGTGGAACTAAAGGAAATCTCGGTTACTGTCTTGACTCCCATGCACTGGGGTCCCCATTCCTAACAAGACGGTAAAAGCAATGGCCCACAGTTCTAGTTTTGCCTATGTCTGCCTCCTCCCTACTGAGGGGGAGAGACCAGGGGTAGGACCAGGACTCGGGCAAGAATGGCCTAAAACCAGCGTTTTCAGAACAGGGAACTGGCTCTATCTGCAGAGCAATTTCCCATCCAGCTTGTTAAATTACACCATTGGGGTGCATGGGTTGCTGCAATTTGTTTAAAACTTTTCATCACCTGCTCCACACAAAGGCTGCCTGCGCCCTTCTGCCCAACTGCCTCCTGCGTGGACCCTGTTGGTGCACAGGCACACATTTCTCACCTCTCACGGTGCTTGGCACAGTTTCACTTTACAGAGCTGTTCACCAAGTGCACCGTAGCACCCAGGAGCCCATAAAACAAACCAAGTCCTCGAGGGCCTCCACAGGTGTTAGGTAATGGCCAGAACAGGGCACAGAGGTTAGAAAAACAGGGAAGTTAGAAAAAAAAAAATGCTCCTGGACAAAGGGAAATAAATGCCCACAGGAAAGGAACAGGGGAACTTTTCAAAATGTTTATACTTGGTGAGGTGCAAGAATAGAATGACAAAATAAAGGCAAGAAGAATCCAAGTAGAAAGGAGATTGGGGTATTGTACAACTGAGCACCTGAAAAAACAAAAGTAATGAGCTGATATGATGCTGATAACCACATGTGAGAAGCATATCACCTTCTCATTCAGCAAATATTTCTTGAGCACCTACCACGGTAACATTCCTTGCCCTCCTGAAGCTTGGTGTATAGTAAGAGACATGCCTGCACATGAGTATGTGCGCTGACTCTTAGGAGCAATGACAAATTCATCCAGGCTTCACTGCAGGCACACTGCAGAGCAGGGCAGTCAAAGACTGGGAAACAGAACTACTTTCTGTCTGAAATCTTCTGAAATCTTGTAACACTAAATGCACTACTCATTTGGAATTTATCTTGTATGCCATACATTATTAATTATTCAATTTATAGCCTTAGTTTCATAGCCCATGAAGATTATAAACTCCTTAAAGATACACACCTGTAATTCTAGCACTATGGGAGGCTGATGCAGAAGGATCACTGGAAGCCATGAGTTTGAGACCAGACTGAGCAACATAGTGAGACCCTGTCTCTACAAAAAATAGAAAAATTAGCTTTGTGTGGTAGCACGTGCCTGTAGTCCCAGCTATTCAGGAGGCTGAGGCAAGAAGATTGCTTGAGTCCAGGTATTTGAGGTTACAATGAGCTATGATGACACCGCTACACTCTACCGGGGGCAATACAGTGAGACCCTGTCTCAAAAACACAAAAAACAAAAAAAACACCATAATTTTGGATTAACCAAAGGCTCAAGAGTAGCCCTTTACACACAGGTTCTCAAAAATGATTTTTGGATTAATTGTTCCATAGATAAATCTAAAATTATCTGTTATTCTGCTGCTCCTCCCCCACACACCCACCACTCCATATATCTAGTCTATTATTTCAATCCTGATAGTATAAAGTATTGATTCTTAACCAGCAGCAATGTTGCCCCCACCCCTACCCCCACCCCAGGCACATTTGACATGACATTTGTCATGACTGGAAGTGAGAGTGCCACTGGCATCTCGGCTTAGAGCCCAGGGAAGCCACTAAGCATCCTACAACGCACAGGGCATGCCACCCCCACCACAAAGAATTACCTGGTCCAAAACAATGCTGAGATTGCTGTAAAGTATAAATGGTAATGGAAGAGATATAGTCTATTCGTTCATTTATTCATTTATTTGTGCCATAAATCTTCTACAAATATATTTAGTCAGAGAACTATATAAATGTAGCAAGTTTTAAAAAGCAGCATACCTGTAAAGTTTTATGGGGAAAAAGTCCCATTTTTCTCCTAGTCGTGACCTTGAAAACTTGGATAGACTCATCTAATCTTAGATATTCAAAATTAACTATCCATGCTCTGTTTTGACCCACGGGGAAGTGTATGTTATCTCAGAGAGGCCTTCAATCTTTACCATTAAGGATTCCATTCTTCAGAATTTTACTTAATGGAATCCTGATCTCATATAAAACTGGTTCATCACTCTCTACAGCCCTCTTTCCCTTTACAGCATATTCCCACTCAACACGAGAAATGCCCACAGAGAGAGACTTTTCCTATAAGTAGTCCTAACAGGTAAAAGACAGCATAAATCCTCAGCAATGGTTCTATAAATCCTACGGCTATGAAAAAATTTAACAGTCTTACCAAGGGATGTCAACATTACAATGACATTCGATATTTCAGTGTCAAAGGAAGAAAAATTCGTTTTTAAAGTCAAGTTTTCAAAAGTATATAAGAATTGATATTGGGGGAGACAGGGAGAGGCACTATACTTTTAGAATTCTTTAATGGAAACTAAGTTATTAATGTACTAAAATGGACTATAATATATGGCTATAAAATGTTTCATAAATGTTTAAAATATGCCTCTATTAATATTTAACAGGCCCACTCATGAGCTAACAATATCACTTAAGAGCATCAGAAATTTTAATATATATTAGTAGAGACTTATTTCAGATTCCATGTAAGATACTAGTTTGAGTTTCAATGTGGGCTGCTAATAAAAAGCAAAATGAGGCAGACAAATGCAGCCTTCTCAGAACATAGAATCTAAGTTAAAATATGAGCCACGTTTATTCTTTCAGGTATTATGAAGCAACGTAATGAATAAGCTAGATTTAAATGTAAGACATCATAATGAATAAAATCATGACAGTAAATTCATTGAATACAAGCATAAAAGCGAAAAACTACAAAATAATGTAATTCGTGCTTATCAGAAACAAAAGCCACAAACCTAAATCCAGACTGCTTTTTGCTAATGAATTAAGATTTTCCAGATCATCAAATCTGCCTTGTTGACTGTTTCCTTCAGTTGATGGTAAGGATGGCAGAGAATCCATGCCAAAGTTTTCCTTCATCTTGAGAAGAGGAAAAATAGAAATGCATTAGTACTTTATGAAAAAATGTGGAACATTATAATGCTGTTCAAACCAAGTAATGATGATAGTGGAAAACTGGCCCTGCAAACAGGCATACTCAGGTAATGGTTTCGTGGTAAGCAGTAACAAACGCTGTAATTTAATATTTGCAAAAGTACAGGCTAGTACAACCTGTTTTATCTAAATATTCAATTTTGAGCAAAACTTTTGTATTACAAACATTAATAAATGGATTTAAATTAACATTTACCAAGGTAGAAGAATAAAAGATCTATCAACGCAAGGTTGATTGTTGATATACACAACCTCCTGGATCATGCTGCTGATGTCCACAATTTAAATAGCTTCGTTGCTGATCCCAAACAACATGGTGAATTTTCATATCTCTAAGCCTTTGCCTGCCCTGCCCTCTCTCACACTCTTATCTGCCTGGTAAATACCTCATTACCCAAACCTGAAACCTACAGATAAGTGTCATAGATAACTTACTGCACTTTCCTCCCATCTTCCTTTTATACATATCTTTCATGGTTTTCCAAAGTAACACACTTCCAGAATGCTAAAATGTTTGTGTCCTCCGCCCAAAATTAATATGTTGAAATCTTAACCCACAAGGTGAAAGTATTAAGAGCTGGCTTTTTTGTGCAGTGATTAGATCATAGGGGTGGAGTCCTCACAAATGGGATCACTGCCCTTATGAAACAGGCCCAAGGGAGCTCATGGTACTCTTGTACCATGTGGGGACACAGCTAGAGGGCGCCATTCACGAACCAGAAAGGGGCCCCCTGCAGACACTGACTTTGCCTGTACCTTGATCTTGGACTTCCTAGCCTCAAGAACTGTGAGAGATAAATTTCTGTTGTTTATAAATCTACCCAGAGTTAATGGTATTTTGTTACAGCAGCCCAAATAGACTAAGAAAGAGAACATATAATTTTCACTTAAGTATCTTATTATGATATTTTATAAGCATAAATTTAAATGAGTAATTTATAGCCACCACAGGAATATACCTTAATTAATCTGAGGTGAATAACAGTATGTTATACTTTATTGTTGGAAATTTTGGTTTTTCAAAACAAAAATGTGAAATATATTGTTTATAATGGCCCACTTTTTTGGTAAAGTTACATTGGTCAGACTTCAATGGTAAGAACTGGTATACCATATACTGCTAGCTTTTTCCAAACAGATTATGAATATAGATAAGTATGTAACTATATCAGATACCTAGTGGCCCCTAAAGAACATAGAATTCAACTCAAATATTTAATAGGAGTAAGGAAGACATCTAACTACTTAGTTGCCTAGAATAAAATAAATAAGAAGAACTTAGAGAAGGGAGTAAGGAAGAGATGGCAGGTACTGAGCACTTAAAAAGAAGAAATTTTACAGTAATTTTGGACCATTTGGACATTTTTTAAAAAAAACTAATGGCAATTATGTTAATAGTAGCTGAAGAATAAGAGAATTGATACCTCAATCTGGGATTTTAGTATAGTGGGTATGAGAGGTTGGAACTTTAGAAAAATGAATTGCTGGGTTTTTTTCTAAAAAGAGAAGAAAATAAGAACATACAATTTTCTCAGGTGAATAATCCTCAGGCAAAAAGAACCAAATCTTTAAATAAAGAGGCTGGGAACACTGGTTCAGGCCTGTAATCCCAGCACTTTGGGAGGTGGAGGCAGGAAGATGGCTTGAGACCAGGAGTTCAAGATCAGCCTGGGCAATATAGCAAGACTACAAAAAGATAAAAAAATCAGCTGGGCATGGTGGCTCATGCCTATAGTCCCAGCTACTCAGGAGGCTGAAGCAGGAGGATTACTTGAGCCCAGGAGTTTGAGGTTGCAGGGAGCTATGACAACTCTAGCCTGGGCAACAGAGGGAGACTCTGTCTCAAAAAAACAAAGCAAAACAAAACAAAAATAATGGACAAGAAATTGAATAGACACTTATAGAAAGAATATAAAAAGATGGCCAATAAACACTTTAAGGGCTGTTCAACATCACTATTAGGGAAATGTAAATTAAAACACAAAGATATAGCACTTTACACTCATAAAAACAAACACAAACATAAAAAAAGCCAGCAAACAACAAGTGTTAGGATGTGGAGAAATTGGAAACCTTGTGCATTGTTGGAGGGAATGTAAAATGGTACAGTTTCTATGGAAAACAGTATGGTATTCCTCAAAAGTTAAATATAGAATTATCCTATGATCTATAATAGCAATTCAAATTTGGGGTATAGAAGCCTCTAACTTTAACCATTTAGTGAGCTAGCTACTTCTTTTGTTGCATTGGCATGCATACCAATAAACCTTTAATGTCTTTTTTTCAGTTTAATTTGCATCCCTCCAAGCAAAAACACAAGAGGGCAGAGGGAAAGTTCTGAGAATATTATTTCAGCCTTAAAAAGGGAGAAAATTCTGACACCTACCACAACATGAATGAACCTTGAAGACAATATGCTAAGTGAAATAAACAAGACACAAAAGAACAAATATTACATGATCCTGCTTCTACGAAGTGATTAGTGTAGTCAAACTCTTAAGAGACACAAAATACAATTATGGATGGTTGCCAAGAGACAGGAGGAGGAGAGAAAGAGCAGTTGTTACTTAATGGGTTTAAGTGTGGGAAGATAAAAAGTTCTAGAGATGGATGGTGATGATGCTTACACAATAATGTCAGTGTAATTAATGCTGCTGAACTGTATACCAAAAATGTTTAAATGAATGGTAAATTGTGTTTTATGTGTATTTTACCATAATTTAAAAACAAAAACAAAACAAGTCTATAAACCTTCATGGTTTCACCCTTCAACTAAAATGGCATAGGAGGGTGGTAGAGAAAGATAAACTGTGGGTAGTTAGGTACTATCTGCATTCCACAACTACAGCTATATCTGCAACCCCAAACGGAGATTACAACCATGATGGAAATAATAATGTTCCTCTACCCTTCTGAAGGGCACCTCTATATAGAAGAGTTTTGGGAATTACATATTTATAAGGCATTGACAAGTGTTTTTAAAATCCTCTTAGGGACTGCAATATTAGGTAATATTATTAGATAACAAATTATCACAGGGCTATATCAGTAATAACAGGTGGGCAAATAAAGATCTGAGCCCATCCTAATCATATGGCTGTGACTGTCATCACTGTGGAAGAGAGGAAAAATGTCAACACCCTTAAGCAAGAACATATAATTATTTAAAGAAAATAAAATACTGTTTACGCAAGATACATTAGGGCTGAAAATCTTAATGCTAGTTTGGGAAGCTTATAGAGGTTACCTCTGTAACTTTAAATAATTAAATGTATGAATAGGCAAAAAATTTTAACATTTTACAGGTTTTAAAATACCAAAGTTTAACTAAACTTATAAAGTAAATATTATGAACATACATTTGACCTTTTCCTCTATAGCCTTAAAAGTGTATATATTAAAATGGACCAATATTTCAGGTTGCCTTTTATTTGGGTAAATAGAAATTATTTTTTACAGAAGTGAATATGGCTGAATTAGTGGGAAATAAAAAAAGGGAAGCTAGGAAACTTAACACAGATTTAGTAATTAGTATACATGTCCTTCAAATTGTAAGCACTGACAGTTGTTTTAAACAAGCCTTTCAAAGAGCACTTTAACAAATAATAGAGTAAGTGGTTACATTGTTAAGCACATCAATATAAGCTTATAAAAGGGCTTTAAAAAAAAAACCCCAATATTATGCAAATGAGTACTTGAGATAAGAATAAAATTTTGAGTGACAGAATGGATTTAAAAATTGCTGTATTTCAAACAACCTAGTTAGAAATGAAGATGATATATTTGGAAAGCTGTGTTAAATGATCAAAAAGTGATTCTAGTGACAATGTAGATACTGACATTAAATATGCATTGAAAGAATTTGAATAAAATTATATGATTAAATGTCAGAATAGGCAAAAATTTAACATTTTAGGAGGTTTTAAAATTGAATGTTTAACTAAACTTATAAAGTCAATATTATGAATATACATTTGACCATTTCATCTATAGCCTTAAATGTTTATAATATATCAAAATGGACGGATATTTCAGATTGCCCTTTATTTGGATAAACAGAAAATTTTCTTTTTATAGACAAAAACAGCCAAAACAAATATTTATGAGTATTCAGTCATCTATAATTCCAATTTGCTCTCTATATAACTGAATACATCTTCTGCTTGGGGTTGAGCACTGACAGATCACAGGAGAGGGACTGGCAAAGGTAGAAAGCACCGATGCCAATGAACACACTGGACAATTATGTGTCACCTCTCTCCACATCCAGGCACCATTCACGCATTCCAAAAACACCTGTTCTTGGTAGACTGCCCAGGGCCCTCTATCATGGGGCGTCCTGTGGGGTCCCATAAATACAGAAAGCATAGTGTCTTGCCTAGCAGAGGGACCCACAAGCATTTGCAGTAGGGAACAGGTAGGAAATGTCTGAAGGAGACGAGGGAAGAAACCACCTGTACCTGCCGAGTGAGAGAGCAGGCGGAGGCATGTTTTGCCCATCACAGCAGGGACGCTGCCAGCCTCGGCGAGGAGGAGAGCACCATCCCGCATCTGAACATACTGTTAAGTTGCCTTTTTAAAAAAACATCCCTATACAGTAATCTTGTCATTTGCCTGAAAGTTAATTCAGGGCAGGAAATAAAGAAACAAAAACATTTTTAAAAGTTGCTAATGAAGGATTCCAGTTGGTGACTGGTTGACTATATAATCTTATAAGAAATAAAGCTGATTAGTGGTTTAATAGTAAGGGGAAACCTATTAAAACACAATGCTTTCCTGCCATACTATCTATTTACAACTTTAAGATGATTTCTTACAGATCAGTGCTTTTATATCATATATAACACAGAGAACAATGTGGATCACCAAGACATAAACAACGATATACTTATAATCAATTTTGCCTTGATTTTCCCTGATAAAACATGCCATGTGAGAAATACACAGCTGTGTTTCCCTGGGGAAATTAAAAAGAAATCACGAATGTTATTATAAAAGAACTCTTCCCTGAAACGAGAAACTTAGGACAAAAACATCACCAAATAGGCAAAGCAAAAAACCACTACAGCAGCAAAGCAAATGCAGCTTATGGACTCCCAAGTGAAGTCGTGCAATACAGAAGAGATGAGCTTATACTTATAGCTAACCATCGTATGGCAGATCTTGCAAACAACACTTAATTATAAAAAGGCCCATTAAATTCTGTTCAGTATTTTTTTTTTTTTAAGTTACATGAGTTAGAGACAGGACTAGGCAGGAGGGAAGATGTGCAATCCCTTACCACGTTTTCAGGGCAATAGCCGTACTGCTGTGTCTCCTGGGAATGAACACTCCTCATAGATCTTGCTTCTGGAGACCCAGGCAGTTCACTGTCATGTAACCACTGTGTAGCAAAGTGAAATTCCTGCATGGAGGGCACAGGAAGGGCCTCCTGAATGTGGGACGACAACGAGGGATACAATTCCAGGGACTGAAAGTGATCTTGATACAGCTCATATTCTTCATCAACAAGCATTTCCCTTTCTTCACCCATCTCCTGCAATCTAGGAGTCAGAAATTCATGCATCTCCCAGGCCTCCGTGCTGTTGTCTATCTCTTTTTGTTGGGACTGGAAAGCCTTTCCCAAATCTAGAAACGGTTCATCCACAAGTTCTTCTTTAAAATGTGGTTCATCTCTAAATCCCTGTAAATAAAAGTTGCAAAAAATGTCATTTCTAGCATGAACTAGAAAATTAAAATGCTGAGATTATGGCAATGTACCACCTTGTATGCCAATGCACAGCTAACACGCACAGCTCTCCACCGCAGACAAGAAGAAACACAGCCTCGCTCCCACACAATCCTCAACCCAGAAAAGGGTCAGAGAGGAAAGTAAGAGGCAGAAATCTGCCTGTGGCAAGGTGAATGATTCTTTCAAACCTTCTAAAAGGTTCATTATACATTAACCACCTGGAAATTCTCCATCAGAAATAGGAATTTTGTTAACCCATTACTCTAAATATTTAACCCATGCACCTAATATAAAAAGTAGTACATAAATATAGATTAATTTCATATTATTACTTAAGAAAGCAAATATTGAAAAGGTAGGTCAGGATTTTCAAGCTTAAGTAACTAAAAAGAAATCATGGCTATTAAAATGTTCAAAAAACATTCCCTATAGACTAAAGATGAGTTATGTCTAACTACCTTGAGTATGACTTTTATAATATAACAAATAATAGGAGTATATTTTTTTAACTGTGTTGAAAATAGAAAGGAATGAATACAATATACTTTTAAATTAATTTATATTTCACTAATCAGAATAGCTAGGACATACCACTGATACTAAATGTGCAGAAACTTGTTGAGTTCTTGTCTAAGCCTTTGGCCTAACCCTGGGAAACCTCTGGGTGCTGGACACAATGTAGCCCAATTCCTTCTAAGAGATCAGTGATATTTCCTATTTTAAGTCCTATTCATTATCACTACATGTAAATTTCTTTTTTCTATTGTTTCTTCCTCACAACTAAACATCATTGTGGTGAAGCTTTTAAATTAATTTAGTATACCAAATATTATAACCTGGTTATTTCCCTCTAAAAATTTTTTGATTAGAGAATATGTTTGAACATATCACATAACAAAATTTTAATGAAAAATGTCTACACTAAAAAATCTAATGGACATTACAGGAATGGATATCAGCTTGAGATTCTGTCAACATATTATATAAAGAATATCATTAGACAGTTATTACCCAGTAAAGCAAAACCATACTCCAACTGCAAAGAACAACATAAGACAATTCCTTTTAAGAATATAAAAGGAGGGGGCTGGTTCCAGTGACTCACGCCTGTAATCCTAGCATTCTGGAAGGCTGAGGCAGGAGGACCCCTTTGAGGCCAGGAGTTCAAGACCAGCCTGAGTAGGAGCAAGACCCCATCTCTCCCAAAATAAAAAAAGTTATTTAGTAGGGCCTTGTGGTGTGCACCTGTAGTCCCAGCTACTTGGGAGGCTGAGGCAGGAGGATCACTTGAACCCAGGAATAGAAGTTGCAGTGAGCTATGATGATGCCACCACATTCTTGCCAGGGTGACAGAGTGAGACCCTGTCCCAAAAAAAAAAAGAACTAAAAAGAGGGGAAAGCTTCCAAATACATTTTGTAAAATTGAAGCATAAAGTAGGGCTTGACTAAATAAGCCTTTTCTTTAGAAAGTATTCAATATGAAATTTTTTGATATAGTTCCATTTTCTATAGCATTTTAAACGTAGGTCTATTTTCTACCCCCCTAAAACTTTAGGAATATATTAGTGATATAAAGTACATCTGTTCTTTGAACATGCCTTACATCTTGCCTGTGTCATTCAGAGAGGCAATGTGATGTAGGAAGAAAAAGATTTCAGTTTAATTAAAAAAATAAAAGAGAGAGGGAGGTTAATTAATATCTATTTAGCTAAGGGATGGGGACAAGCTTTGTCTTCTTTATAAAAACTGTAGCTCACAGCAAATCATTCAAATGGGAAATAAATTTACTAAATACCTTGGGTGCTTCAAGTATTAAAGATGAATTTATATCATGAATTGTTCCTGAAAGTTCAGTGTTATCTTCATTATTGCTCGAATGTAAAATGTAACAACTTTCTTCTTTATCATCTTCCTGAAAATATAAGACACGCTTATAAGCAAGAAAATACCTTAGTTTCAAACTCTCTTCAGATTCTCATATTCCCATTAAGTGCAAGTACACGACAAAATTTACACGAAGTGCTTTCATTACAACAAACTTTAACAATTAAAAAGAAAGTCATATACAGGTCAGAGCTCCTCAAAGTTTTTTTAAAAGTATTCCTTAAAGAAAAATCACTTTCCTAGGAAAAGACCTTGTATATATAGCTATCTATGTATCAGGTACAAATTTAAATCCTTTAAATATATTTACTATATTAATTAATATATTCTCTAAGAAGTAGAGGCTCTTATTAACCCTGTTTCACCAGTGAGTAAAGGGGAAACAGTAATTTGCCCAATGTTACATGACTAGTCAGTTACACACCCAGAATCTGAATGTTGGCTGACTGGCTCTAGAACAGGGGTCCTCAAACTTTTTAAACAGGGGGCCAGTTCACTGTCCCTCAGACTGTTGGAGGGCCGGACTATAGTTTTAAAAAAAGCTATGAACAAATTCCTATGCACACTGCACATATCTTATTTTGAAGTAAAAAAACAAATGGGCAAAACACCTGCATGTGGCCTGTGGGCCGTAGTCTGAGGATGCCTGCTCTAGAGCCTATGTTCTCAATTAATCACACCATGTGAGCCCCATCTTATAGGTGAGCAAGGTGGAAGCTGGTGAGGTTAAATAACTGGTCCAAGGACACAAAGCCTTGCAAACCACAGAATTAAGCAAAAATCCATAGCTGTCTGCCCTATGAGGTAGACATTATTTTTTCTGATATTATAAGACAAGGACATTAAAGAAACTTGTCCAAGGTCTCACACACACAGGAAAAGCAGTAAAACAGATTCAAGGCCAGGTGTATTTGTCTCCAAAATCCATGTTCTCAACTATTGTACTATTATCACTTCCTATATTAACCAAATTCAACACTTACCACCAAAGGCTTACAGATGCCAAGGTGTACAGTGCCTGGTGGCACAGCCTTCAGAACTTCCACAGCTTCTGCAAGTGTGGCGTTGTCCAAACAGTATTCATTGACTGAGACCAGGCGGTCTCCAGGTAATAGTCCTCCACTTCTTTCTGCTACACCATCTGCTACCAGGGAACGGATCACAATCACTGATCTTGTGGGATCTAAAGGGTCCTACGAATCAAGCAAAGAAAGATGAGTCAGTTCCCTGAAAATACATATGCAGACTTAACACCATGTATACTGACTCATGAATCTCATTTGACTATTTACTTCACGTGTTCAGCATTCTGGTGATGTTCTTCCAAACACGTAAAAATAAGTTAAAATATTCTATATATCCATACAAATATCAGCTTGTATCAAGGTGAAAATATAATCTTAACAATTTCAATTGCGTGTCTAAGTGCTTAAATACATATAAATTTGTTTTTTTAATTTTTTAGTGAATGACATTTTATTGGGCCATAAGAGCTCTGGGAACAGTTGGGCAGGATTCGTTGACATTCTCAAGCATTGTCATGCTACAGACCAAAGGCAAAGCCATTTATTACTCCTCTTGGGCCATGAGTAGGCTCTGAGAAAAGCATTAATATAAATATGATACTCCATTCTTATGCATTCAGCTGTACAGAATCCTCCTACAAAACCATGAAAGTCCGGAAAAGACATGGAAACCATGGAATATTCCACTGCATTTAAAAATATTTTTAAAAATAACATAATCTAAAATTATGACACAATACCCCTAGGTCAGAACTATTTTAATGCATAGAAAATGAGTATGAATTCATAAACAAAACCAATGTGCGAAAATCTCTCTTATCCATTGGGAGGGCTCCATATTACTTTTTGTTAAGCACTGAAGATAATGTTGACAATCAAAAAATACATTTGGTTAATAAAAACCAATTTATAACTCCAATTTATAAAACCAATTTGTAACTGTTTTTTGTTTTATTCAACAAACTGATATATGTGCTTCTTGTGTGTCAGCCTTGACAATCATTAATTCATCTAATCCTTACAACAACTCCAGGATGTAGATAGATTGTTTTTGGTCTGTATTTTACAGAGGAGGAAACTGAGGCTTAGAAAGTTAGGGAAATTAGCCACTATCACCCAACTGGCAAGTGGCAGAGCCAGGATTCAACCAGGCCATCTGGCTCTTAAGTCCTGACTCTTGATCACCATGCTCTGCTGCCCACTCCACATCATAATGATCAGAAGAAACTGGAAACAAATGGTTGTGAATGGAAAAGAAAGAAATATTCACGTAGAAATCTTACAGCTGAGTCTTCATTTGCCTTAATGGCGAGGAATATGGCACTATTACTAAACTTCACACTTAGCACTGGGGAGAAAAAAATAATTAAATCCCAAAAGCAGCAGCATTTGCTTTGGTTTGTCTATGTTGCTCCTCATGTTTTATTATGCACTTACTGTTCCACAAAGGCAAGATGTAATGCCCGTGACATTCTACTACTCCAGCTTCTATTAAACCCTTCCAGAGAAAGTAGACAGAAACTGCTAGATTTCATGTTAGAATTATAAAACTTTGGAATTAGCTAAGTGAGGATTTGCCAAGTTCCAGGCTATGTCTGTTTGAAGTTGCTGACAGTTCTTTTGAAGTTTTCTGATCCAGTTTTCTATGCCTCTGTGTTTCAGACATCAGGGTTCATTTTCAAAGTACTGCATGGAATTTTCACCAAATATACCATATTTAAATCAACAAAGGCTACACAGCTTATTCCTTGAAGAATGCCTTCAAACATAACATCTTGCTTTTCTCAACTAACCTTGCCTTTCTAGCCCCAAGTCAAGAGACTCTTAGTAATTGTCTTATACATTCTGATGTACAAATACCACATATTTATGAAGAGGATTAAAAGTAAAAAGTACTCATGGACACCAGGCGCAGTGGCTCAGTGTAATCCTAGCACTCTGGGAGGCTGAGGCAGGAGAATTGCTTGAGGTTAGGAGTTCGAGACCAGCCTGAGCAAGAGCATCTCTATCAAAAATAGAAAAAATTAATTGGGCATGGTGGCGCATGCCTGTAGTCTCAGCTACTAGGGAGGCTGAGGCAGGATTGCTTGAGGCGAGGAGTTTGAGGTTGTCGTGAGCTGTGATACCACTGCATTTGACCCAGGGTGACAGAGTGAGACTCTGTCTCAAAAAAATAAAAATAAAAAAGTCAGGGAATTCACTAATAAAGTACATAGTGTTAAACTATAATTACACCAATATTTTCAAGTAGAGGGAGCTCTTGCATAGGAAGAGAACAGAAGAGAACCGAAAAGTACAGGGGTATATCAGCAGGCAATTGGTGCTGTAATATAAAAGAGCTGTCTATTTTGTCACTGGCAGCCATGAATCACAACACACTTTTCATTCTGAAATATGAAACCATTACATTTTAAGTTTGACACACTAATAAATAAGCTGTACAATTATGTCCTTCGTTTAGGATGTCAGTTTTTGATAAAAGGCTTTTTTATTGGGGAGGAAGGGAAACTACATAATAGCTTATTCCTCTCATGAAATACACAGAAAGCAGCTAGCATTACTTCATATTTCTAATTACTAAACTTTCTTAGAGAAAATTGCAACAGTAAAATACACCAAAAGAAAATAAATGATTTCACTAAGTCTGTTGTGAACAATCTCTGCAGTTTCACGTAGCACTGAATCAAAACATGTCATTTTTAGCCCAAATATGTGGATACGTTTTCAAAATGTAACCCGTTGAAATGATAATTAGAAACATTTCAAAGGAAGATTCAGCAGGAACAAAATGGAAAAAGAGTTCTACCCTTGAAGATTAACAGATCTCCCTTATTTCAGTCATAGTGAGCACTTATTTACATAAGTACAGTCTTCTTTAGACCTTAAACTAGTGAGAGGTATGTTTGCTTCCTAAAATTTATTCAGGTGTAGACCTATAGTTATTCTAAACACTACCACCCCTTTTCCTGGAGGAGAGAACCCAAATGCAGCTTCTTTGTCACTTGGAAGGGGGAAAAAAAGACAAATCACCCACCTCTGAAGAAGCCCCATTATCTTTAATCACCACTTCATTTTCTATGATGACTTTTCTGACTGTGTGATTTCCCACATAGCTGAATGGAGTCGCTTTAATGAGTAACAGTCATTTCTTTTCATGGCCATCACATGTAGCAGCCACGCTATGGAAAAACAGCAGCTGCTACTGCCTACTGGGGCGGCTGTTATTCTTGAGGCTTTGCTGCATAAAAAGTGCTCAAAACTCAGCCTGACTTCGAAAGGTCCATTTTATGAAAATACAGTCTACAGTATCGTACGTGTGTTATAGTAAACAAAATGTTCTAAAGATATTTTTCAAGACCCCTACCCAGCCCCTCACCCCCCAGGCATGCATACACACACATACACACACACACACACACACATCATTATTATTATTTTAAATATGGAATGCTTCATGAATTTGCACATAATCTTTGCTCAGGGGCTATGCTCATCTTCTTTGTATTGTTCCAATTTTAGCATATGTACTGTCAAAGCCAGCACCCTCAAAAAATATTTTTAAGGTTCTCATTGGTTTTTATCACCTTTTATCATAATTTTTAAATATCTAATATTTCTTCTTTTGGTAAACAACACTGCAAGGAACATTGTATTCCAGAATCAGGATGTTGCTTTACACTAAACAGCCAATAGAGGGCACTAAAGACCAATCCTAGAACAGAAGAACCATCTACTATGCGAGCCATTCTCTCCTGAAGGAATTTTTTTCCCGTTTATTCAAAAGCTTTATATCATTACATATCCCCTAACAGTGTCCCGCATGTTTGATTCAATCCAATAATTTATGAAAGTTGCTTCTTAACACTTCTTAAAAATATTATCAAACGTCTATAACTATATAAAAATGGCAAACTTTCATCAGAATACTATACCAGAAGACAACACCGCTGATATGAATTCTGCACCTCACTACTCAGCTAGGAAAACCTGGTGAACCATCTAACTGCTCAGTCTCACAAGTGAATAAAATCACTGTACCTGACTGCAAAAAAGTGGATACAAAGACTCTTGAGGTCTCTTGTAATGCTAATGTTTGGTATTTATTATAAACAAAGGAAATTTTGATGTTAGGGGAAATCTAAGTTGACAGACTCCTCTCCTCCTATATTCCGAGTGACATCAGCATAAACCCAAGAATTCACTTCTCTCCCTCACCCCTCCAGTGGCTCACGCCTGTAATCTCGCCAAGCCCTGTCAATTTGACTTTCTGTCTCTTCTGATTCTTCTTTCCACTTCCACTGTCACTACCTTGGTTCACCTTATCATTTCTTGCCTGGGCAACTGCTATAGTTTCCTAATAGGTCTACCTGTCTCTAACCTTGCCCACATCAGTCTATTTTCTACAGAGATAATAGAGTCATCTTTTAAAAATAAAAATGCAATCATAATTCCTCCTCTAAAATACTTCAGTGACACTCACTGCCTTCAGGATAAAGCGCTAACTCCTTTATCCTTTATGGAGGGCAAATCCTTCAGATCTGCAGTTCTGTCTCACCTCCTTTCTCTCTCCCCACATGTAGCACTGCCTGCCTCCATTTGCCCCACACCTCATGGCAGCAATGCAGGACTATTGGAACTCAGGCCCTGTGGAACACTTTGGCATGCCCCACGACATCATGCAAGCCATTCCCTCTGCCCAGAATGCTCTCCATGAACGGCTGCCACTTGTCTGGTCTTTGCCACAGAGTCAGCTCAAGCGTTTCCTCCAATAAGAAGCCTTCCCTGACTTCCTGAAGACCCAAGCACTTCCTACTTTGTGACAGCCCTAAACCTACAAAGATTTTCCATTATAGCATGTGTCATAATCTATTTTCCTTACTGTCTGACCTAAGAATTAGCTAAGTCTAATACATCTATTAGATGTATATCCATAGCACATTGTATTTTATTATAATACTTTTGACAGTTTACTGAATTTAACTGTCTTCCTGCTAAAAAATAAGCTTCATGAGAGCAAGAATGTGCTCATTTGTTGCTTTCTTTCTTTCTTTTTTTTTTTTTTTGAGACAGAGTCTCGCTTTGTTGCCCAGGCTAGAGTGAGTGCCGTGGCGTCAGCCTAGCTCACAGCAACCTCAAACTCTTGGGCTTAAGCGATCCTCCTGCCTCAG